TTGAGTCCCACATTGGGTTCCCTGTGGGGAGCCTGCTTCTCCCTCGGCCTATGTCTCTGCCTCTCTCTCTCTATCTCTCTCTGTCCTTCAGGAATAAATAAATAAATCGTTTAAAAAAATGAAAATAGGACTTGTAGAGATTGCCTTTACCTCTTGAAAGCCTTCTAGAATATGATAAGTTTTAATTATGAATTTGTGTTTTTGTGTGTATGTATGCATATATGTATTTAGTTATTTATTTTGTAGAAAGCCTTTCCAGAGTATTTGCACTACTAGCATGCAATAATATGAAATAGTAGAATATGTTTTGTATTATTTTTAGAAGTTTAGAAAACAAATTTCTGGCAGGCAAATCTAAAGAATATTAATGATTTAATTCATATCTTTCTTTTTATTTATTCATAGAAACACAGAGAGAGAGAGAGACAGAGACATAGGCAGAGGGAGAATCAGGCTCCATAGAGGGAGTCTGACATGGGACTCGATCCCAGGTCTCCAGGATCACACCCTCAGCTACAGGCTGCGCTAAACCTCTGCACCACTGGGGCTGACCTCATATCTTATTTTCAAAGAATGTGCCTATGTTGATTTATATGAGAATCATAAATCAACGATTTAGAAATACCATCAACTAAAGAAATCTAAAGTCATTCAACCATATACCACTTTTGTATCTAGACTCGGGCTACAAAGTAATACTAATTCCAATGAATGGGGATTGCTATATTTGGGGGAGCTAATTTTATAATCATTTTTAAACTTTTAGAGTCATTTCACAATGGCAGGCATTGCACATCTAGTGGATTATAACAAATTAAAAAAATAAATTAACTAAATAAAATATAGAATATAATTAGGGCATTGGGATGGGTTAAAGACAGTTTTCTTATTAGTTTGTTTAAATTGTCTTTCAAAAATTAAGATTTACATACTCTGATGTAGTGACCTTTCTCAGAATTCTTTCTCTGTTATACTCACAAAGGTAAAGTCAGCTACTACTACCATGCCTCACATCCCTGTCTTTCTTGCTCAACATCAGAATTGTGGGTACTGTTTTCTCGGCATTTCTATTACACTTATTTCCAAACTGATCTCTGCTTCCTCCTTTACAACACTGTATATTCTCCTTACTGTCAACTGTGTCTTTCTTTCCCTGCTTCACATACTATATCCCATTCATCATACTCTTAGAACTCCCTAAAATCACCATCTTACAGACAACCTCAACTTCCTTGTTCCTTAATCTTTCTGTTACATGGACTGGCAAAGTTCAACCCTCAATCAATCTGACTGTCCATTGTCACTAGTTCTTCATTCAGGTTGCTGAATACTCTTGGGGAAAATCACTCAGTTGTATGGATTGTGTCAGTTCACATTCATTGTCTGAAATTTCAGGTGGAGATCGTATGCTGTTTGAAATATGTATTATGGGGTTCCTGGGTGGCTCAGGTGGTTGAACGTCTGCCTTCAGCTCAGGTCATGATCCTGGGGTCCTGGGATCGAGCCCCTCATCAGGGTCCCTGTACAGAGAAGAGCCTGCTTATCTCTCTCCCTCTTCCCTTCCCCCTGCTTGTGGTCTTTCTCTGTCAAATAAATAAATAAATAAATAAAATCTTAAAACAAAAAAGAAATATGTATTATATTAGTTTGTACTCAGTTCCTAACACAACGTGTCATACATTCTAGGCCCTCAAGAAATGTTACCTGATGTATTAGATTTCTTCTGCCAAATCTTACTTATCTAAAGCTATTTTATCATAAGCTCAGTACGTTTCACATTCTTCAACTGTGAATTTATTTTTAAAACATTTTTATTATTGCATCTAATATATTAGAGAAAATTTTAACGTAAATGACCTTTGAATAAGACCAATAATTGGTTTTGGTTGTCCTCACTTTACTGATCACTTTCACTCCCCTTGTTGCCTCTGTCAGTCAAGAAATTCACAAGGCAGTTCCAGACTTGCTGGCATTTTGGTCCTCTGACTTGCAGCACATTATACCTCTAATTAAGTCTCTGTGTTATTTTAGTATTTTCCTTGTTTGGCTCAATATCTCTCTTCCTTTCAGGTTAAATGTTGTAAACAGAAAGCAAGTATAATAGCTGCCCAATCAAATTATGGAAGGAATGCTGAAAAGGTCAAAACAGCAAAACACACTATGGTAATTTATGTAATGTAGAATGCATTAAAATTTTGGACTTCATTTGCCTCAAAAAAATGTAATGGCAGGATAGATATGGCATAGGCTATTCAGAATGAAGTCTTATCGTCCAACTAGCAGGAATTTACTCACCTTTGTTGTTCCCCTGCTCTGGGAACATCTTTCCCCTGGTCAGAGGGAATGTCACTTCCCTGTCTGCTGGCAACCTCTTTAGTTCTCCCCTCATCATTTGTCCTAAGAAGAGGAAAGAGCAAGCTAAATCCTCCTTGTCTTGTGAACCCTCATAGACCTCATGTTCTTTCCTCTGTGTGCATTTCTTTCTTTTACAAGCATCGTTTATGAGGCTGACAAAGCTTTCCTTATTTAGTCTCTAGTGATATATGATGTATTGGCTTTGGCATGAACCATTTAAACAAAAACTAGTACTTACAAATAGAAGCAGAGAGGGTCAGAGTATTACCATTGCCTACTAAACTGACATGAATTTGGAATGAAGTGACAAAAGGCTGTCTGGTTACTCCTACCAGGTATTAGCTTTTGAATACAGATTTAGTAAATATGTTGTTAAGGAGCCATGGTGATATACTCTAAAATAATTAAAGCCACATATTTTCCTCATTCTCCTTATTCATTTCATACTGTAGTCATAAGGACAAAGAGAGAATAACTTCGTTATTTGAGAAAAATTCCTTTATTGATGGAAAGTTTGAAACAGGTGGAAGATATGCATGGGGACATCTATTATATTTGCCTTGGTGTGGCTAGCTAAATTATAGAAAGATAAATTTATATATACATTAACCAAATGAAATACTTTGCCATTGTTGATTATTGGGTTCATCAGGAAACTGGCTCTCAGATGGAGTTTAGTGCGCAGGATGTTTTTTGAGGTGGGTCCCTGGGATCAATACCTGTGGAAACAAAGAAGGAAAAATGGTGGTCAGAAAGAGAAGCCATGCTTCGGTGCAGCTTTACCTGAGCCCATGGACAGCTTTGAAAATTGAATAGGCTTTCCAAGTTGACCTCAATTTTGGTGAGGGAGCCCAACTCTGTATCCCCACATGGACTAGTCTGCATACAGGTTGTCATGGATGGGGCTGTCCTTAGACAAAATCACTCTTTGCAACAGGGGCAACATTTGAAAAACCTAACAGCTGAAATACATCTGCTGACCACACTCCAAAAAGTCCCTTTTACAAGTCCCTCACTGACAAGTAAACTGTCTGGAGGGTTCTCTGCAGGTAAGTGTAGCCAAGAGAACATGTTCTCTCTCATGGGCTATGGATAGTGGATGTAATCTGTGTAACATTTGACTGATTGCTCAAAAGGAAGTAGCTGCACCCAAGGAGATAGTCCAGGGGATGAGAAATGGCTTGAAAAGCTTCGTTCAGACATGTAGATGGGCTCGATTCTGCAGGGGAAGAAAGGGCAACAAATGGAAAGAACCTGGGTTTCCTCAAAAAAGGACTTCACAGAGGCATGATGCTTTTCAGTCTGAACCCCTCTCGAACTGCATATCTGAGAACAATAACCCCTGTTTGAACTAATGTATTCTGTTGTTTATTTATAATCAACTTTGTCCTTCAAAGTACAATAAGAATATCTGGAAGTGAGGTGCTACTAGACAAAAACTAAATCACATGGCAAGGCATCACTGTAAGAAGGTGAAAAGGGACGACATGAGTTTTCTGGCTGCAAAGATGACAACTTCTATTGGGACACAGCGAAATACTTGTAAAGCTATCACCTGTGATAATTTCAATGGCAGACCATATGCTTATAAATCTGTAGCTTTACTGGAATTTGTTTTAAAAACTCAGACAAATGATGTGTTTGGCTGTTCTGTTGTTTTAGCAAAATTACTGGTAAAGAGAGCTGAGATCAGACAAGAAATGATAAGTTTTGCAATTCTATATAGAAGAAAATATAGCACTGCTAAGACGCAATCTCTGCCTACAATCAGCAATCATATTGACTGAGCAAGCGTTATTTTGGGCCCTAAAAGTATTAAAATACCAACTGCTTTTTTATCCTAAATAGCAGAAGATGAGATTGTCACTTGCAACCTATATCTCCAGACTCCAAACTAATCTCTTTAGGCAGAATAAGGAGTCTGTGATAAAGCTCAGACGGAGGTGTTGTCTTATCATCCAACTGCATCCTTTCAAGCTACCTTCCATTTAGATGCCTTCACATCATTGGAGAGTGGATAAGTCAAGCCCACAACCAGTAAAGAGAAGAACTGGTAGGCTTGAGGTATATGTTTAGAAGAAATCTTTGGGAATGGTCACTTGAAAAAAACAAAAACAAAAACAACCAAAAAACCTGACTGAAACAAAATACGATGACAATCTCAAGTTTTTTGAGAGAATTTTATTGCTAACGAAACCAAACCAAATGTCTGGGTTACCAAAGCCAGTTATTTGCATATAGCAGACTGATAGATCATGCTACTACATTTTGGGTGAGAGGTAGTCATACAAATTTTCTATTAGTTTATAGATTATCAGGTTGCAAAGTGTCATATTTAGGCTTAATGGAGATGACTAGGCTTCACTAAGACATTCTAAACTGAGCCAGATGTGATAAATTGTGAAATGAACTGCATATGGGAATAAGGAAGGACCCATGCATTTGGGTCCACTTATTCACCACTGCTCCAAATCCATTCTTCTATTACAGTAGATTTTTGCTGAGCACATGACTGTTGAGACATTTTCCAATCTCTCTTGCAGTTAGTTATAACATTTCTTTCTTCAGTAGAATGTGAGAATGAGTGAACATCCAACTCACTTGTTAAATGAAATTTATTTGAATGGCCTTTTCTCTCTCCACAGGCCACAGTATAGAAGAGCGTTGACTTACACTCAACAATACAGAAGAGAAGAACACGTTGGCAATGGCAAAGCAGAAATGTGAAATGAAACTGGAACTTGGTTTACTTCCTGGAGCAGAATCATCTGAACCTGCCACTAATCTCCAGACTATGATGAGAGAGAAAATATATATACTCTTTCCATGTATAACACTGTGTTTTTAATTTTGTTTTTTTATAATAGCTGACCTTATACAGCAATTAATATGTTAGCAGTTTAATTTTTATACAAATGTAGTTATTTATCTTTTCATATATAAAGAGGCTTCATACTGGGCACCTTTTTTCATGATTTTTATTGGGACAAAATAACAACAGAGAGCTTTGTCCAGAGATTTGTTTTCTCTCAGTGAGGCAAAAAAAAAAAAAAAAAAAAAAGATAATTTTCAATGAAATGTATTAGGCCTAAGTAACATATACAAACACTATTAGAAGAAGAAAATATAGCAGTTATGTAGAAGTTTTGAAATTCAGAACAACTTTCCTGCCACTGCTACATTCTGTTCTGAGTGATTTGGGATTTGGGGATATCCATAAATACAAATCAATCAATTCCTCTATCTCACTTACTGGATACATCTGTGAGTCCTTAAATATTAAGGCTGTAGCTATGGCCATGTGACTACTTCGCTTTTTTTTTTAAGTGGAAGAAAAAAACTCTTAAATGACATTATCAACTTTAAGAAATTCAAAATATCTTCATTGAAATAGAAGAATTGAACTCCATTAAAGCAGTTGGTTAGATCTGTTCTGTTTTTTGTTGTGCTTTCATTTTATAAACTCCCCACCAGTTAATCTATTTTCTGAAGCACACTAACAGGTGATACATGCCTCAAAACATACCCCACGTGTTCTTTGGAAGTGGAATTGGTGAATAAGTAAATATATTACTCACTCTTCAGCAGCCAGTGATTAAACTTCCATACCACCACCTATTTCTCTACATGTGGTAATTTACTGAAAGGTCTGGGATGCTATTCAGGTAGTTCCTTCTTCCCAATTTTGGTCCTATATTTTCCAAGGACATTGCACCTATATGTCATACTGACCAAAATTTAGAAAGTGCAGGCAGTGAATGGATTATTATGTGAGACTGGGCCAATTATTAACATAATCCAAACAGCGTTCAATTTTGCTTTACAAACTGATAGGTAAAATGACACTTCCAAAATTTTCATTAATAAAGCTGTGACTTCAAAAACATTAAAAACTGATGGGGCACCTGGGTGGCTTAGTGGTTGAGCTTCTGCCTTTGGCTTAGGTTGTGATCTCAGGGTCCTGGGATTGAGTCCCGCATCGGGCTAACCACAGGGAGCCTGCTTCTCCCTCTGCCTGTGTCTCTGCCTCTCTCTCTGTGTCTCTCATGAATAAATAAATAAAATATTCAAAAAATTTAAAAATGAATAACAGAGGTTTTTATTTTTACCTACTTCACACTAAACTCAGGATGCTAAGTACCATTGGTTCTATTTGTCTCTGGGGAACAAATTTCAATTTTTAACCTATTAGTCATTAACAGAATTTTGAAATTTGTTTTTAAGCTAATTACTTTTGGAAAAATACAGATCTTTAATTCTATCAAGTGTTTGTTGACTCCATTCAACCCTTTTTCTCAATTCAGGATGATATTCATCAATATTACTTTTTCATAGGTGCTTTAAAATGATCATTATTAAAAGTATAAATAGAAGTCAGTTCTCATATAAGAAATGTTATCTGAAGTTGAAAATATAGAGACTAAAGTTGCATGAATTCAATTTCCTATTGGCTTTCTTTCTCCAGCCTGTCAGAATTTAACCTACAATTTGCACAAAAGACACCAACAATAGCTGGTGAAATATTCGTGCATACCTTACCCTGCCCCTTTAGTTATTTCAACTTGCTTTATTTATTCACTTCAACTTACTGAAAAATATTAGAATCATTTCATATAATCGTGTGAAGTCATCAATTCAAACAGTACCACAAAAATCGGGTATTGTTAGCAAATGGCATTTTAGCAATTAAAATTTCTTAGTTCTTACCTGAAAATGTTTATTTTTTAACACACACACACATTTCTTCTGACTCCCAGAATTGAGATGATTTTTTCATTTGAAATAAATAGCTAATTTATCAAAATGTACATTTGAACAATTTGAAGATAATGAAAAAATACTTTAAAAGATTTCCACATAATTCTCCCACTTGTATGGTATCAGTATTTGATAAATGCAGATAGGCTGTATTATGCATATTTAAATATCAGCTTATGGGGGCACCTGGCTGGCTAAGTCAGTAGAACATGTGACTCCTGATCTCAGGGTTGTGAGTTCGAGCCCCACATTGGGTGTAAAGATTATTTAAAAATCAAATCTTTAAAAAAAATAATCTCAACTTACTTCATTAATACTCATTTACTTTGAGAAGCTGTTGTTTTCTTAAATTTTCATCTCTTACCCTCTTTACCCACTAGCTCAACCTCTTAGAGGTTCTTTTTATCCATTGTCAGAATAGTTCTCTTATTAACTGCATTTAATGTGCTGTTAAAGCTAACCTCTTATGCAGTAAGCACCTATTTATAATCTCACAAGGATCCACACTCATGCAAGTACCTCACTAGATTTTTTTTTTTTTCATGAGAAGCAGGTTTCTGTTTCATGCAGGCCTTGACATGGAGACAGCAGGGCTGTATTAGAACATCTTTACTTGTCACTTACTTCATTGCATGCCAAACAGATAGATCTTTAGGAATTTTTGAGTTGTGGCATCATTTGGTACATCAAAGTAATAAGCTTGGGTTTCATATGGCACACATCCTGTGATGTACTTCTGTTACGCAAGTCTCTCCACACAGTTACCTTAAAGTGGCTCATTATTTAGAGACTGTGTAAGAAAAGTATTTCCTCTGCACAAGGAAAAAAGTCCCTTTCAGAGGAAAAATTGTATAATGCCTCCCAGGTGTGTAAGAAAGGTGAAAAAGTACAGCTCATCTGATGTACTGCTCGTGACTTTGTAGGCTTATTAGTTCCCCGAACGAAGACTCATCTGCCCTGCATTTCCGTGGTTTAATTTAATGGACAGATTCTCCAATAAAAGTAGATGGAAATAAATGCATTAGACAGCTCATGCAAGGAGCAAAAGGAAAAGGATTTAACCATCAGAGTTTTTATATCTTTGAAATGATCTGTTGTTTCAACCAATCTCGATTTCTCTAGCTTATGCTTATTATTCTTTTATCTGATTCGTATTGCCATCTGGTTCATGTGCAAGTGCAAATCATAAGCAAGAAAAAGCAGAGCTAATTTTCTGTGTCAGCTTAACAAACAAAAGCTGTGCAATATGGATTGCTATCATTAAAAGTATCTATCGTGAAATATTGATCTGAAATAGGTTACTTTTCCAATGTTTAGATATGTGATGGTAATTAGGATTACTTGAAAAGGGGCGAGTGTCAATCTAATGTGGGAGGCTGTATTGATTTTGGAAAATGACTTTGTAAAGCAACTAATATTTTCTACATATTTCTTATGAATTAATATTTAGAATTCTTTCATAGCATAGATTTTATTAACTGAAATATAAGAATTAATAAATGACCTGAAGCTTCTCTTGCAGGTGGATGGCTTTATATTAATCCCTTTGAATGGCATAAAATGTAAATTGTAGTTTCAGTGGAAATTTTAAAACTAATAGAGAAAATATGATCAAAGGGAGGAAAAGAGGGGTATCTTTCTGATCGTCAGCTCGTTGTTGATATTTTATGTATCAGAAGTAGGTTAAAATCTCCTATTTTATCATTGTTCCTTGTTCAACAACAAAAAAATGTTTTTTTTTTCTACCATAAATAAAATTAAGTATAATAAGATAATACTGATGTAAATCATTAAATTGTTAGGAACAATGCATTCAATAATGAAATATAAAACATCTGTTCAAAAAAAGCTTTAGTCTCTCACACTGTTAGAATAATTAAGTTTATTTTGCTTCTGTGCATTAAAAGTAATGGACAATTACAAAGGCACTTTATCAAATAGAATTTCTATAACTTACCATAAAGATTTATGTCCATATATAATGTTCACATACATAAATATTTCCCTTTGGAGTCAAATAAATCTCACAGATGAAACAATCTACTCTTCCCAGTGTTATGTGAAGCCAATTCTCTAGTAGCATTACAGTTAGGTTTGCTTACAAGAAGAATGGAAAATTATCTCAAGAGACTTTTGGTTTTTTAGACTTCCTTGGGTATTAATTCCTGTTCTTGGGACGCCTGGGTGGCTCAGCAGTTGAGCATCTGCCTTGGCTCAGGGTGTGATCCCGGGATCTGGAATCAAGTCCCATGTCAGACTTCCTCCATGGATCCTTCTTCTCCCTTTGCCTGTGTCTCTGGCTCTCTCTCTGCGTCTCTCATGAATAAATAGATAAAATCTTAAAAAAAAAATCCTGTTCTTAAGACCTGTATGCCTCAATTACATCCAATTAGGATCTTATGTATTTTTTTAAAGATATTTATTTATTTATTTATTTATTTATTTATTTATTTATTTGAGATAGAGAGAGAGACAGAGACATAAGCAGAGGAAGAAGCAGGCTCCCCACATGGAACCCAATGTGGGACTCCATCCTGGGACTCCAGGATCATGCCCTGAGCCAAAGGCAAACGCTAAACCACTGAGCCACCCATGTGTCCCAGAGGATCTTATGTATTAAAAACACTTCAAGTCATTCAAAATAGTATTTATTTCAGTCATTTAAGATCCAAAACATATTATGGTTTTGGACAAGAACCAACACAAGAGCAATGACCCATGCTCTTATGTAATCTATTCTTCCTGAGTGCAATCAGGATTTAAGATTCTCTTTTAAGGAACAGAATATGGCAGAAATGATGAGATTCCAAGATTAGGTCATAAAAAGCTTCTGACTTTTCTATTGGTTACAGTTTCTTAGTCTCTCTTGGATCACTAACCCTGGGAGAAGGCAGTAGCCTTGTCTGGAGGCAACTCTACAGAGAGAAGCCATGTTCAGACAATAACTACAAGGGCCTTAAGAGGAGGCTGCAGCCACTCCCAACACTTTTGACTTCAACCTCGTAAGACTCTAAGCCAAAAGCTCACACTGGACCATGGCCAGAATCCTGACCAGCAAAGACAAAAACTGTGAAATAATAAAATGTTCATTGCTTAGCAGCTATACTTGGAGGAAATTGCTATATGATAATATATAACTAATACAGATGTTCTAATAAGTTTGTACATTTTTCTCTTGCTTCTGTGTAGACTCAGAGCTAATTTTTCATGGCTTATTTATCTGGAAATAAGCCACTTTGCATGTGGATGATATTATAT